AGGAGAAGGAGACAGAGGAGGAGGAGGAGGAGGAGGAGGAGGAGGAGGAGGAGGAGGAGGAGGAATACGAGCAGGAGGAGGAGGAGAAGGAGGCGGCGGAGGTGGAGATGGAGGAGGAGGAGGAGGAGGAGGAGGAGAAGGAGGAGGGGTTCAGTGTTTCGCGCGGCGCGGTGTATAGATGGCTCCTGAGGCCACGGCCTCCTCCACCCGGCCTCCGGCAGGCCCGGACGGCTGCCCGCACCGGTGGCCGCTCGCCTGCCCGGATGGCCTCGGGCCGCCTTCGTGGAAGTCTTCCGCGCCTCCCCCGAAGGCGCGAGGGCCCCGAGAAGACCCGCCGCCCCCCGAGGAGGCCTGCCCCACCTCGCTTCCCCAGCCCGGAACATATCCCTATCCCTATGCTGGGCACCTCCTCACCACGATGCCGATCTTGGGGACTCCCATCTTTTTTGAGGGCGGATCCCTAAGATTGCCACCGCCTTCTGGCGTGCCAATCTTAGGGGATAGGGATACGTTCGAGGCTGGTAATCGCTTCCCCCCCCCGTCGGCACGCCGCGGGGCGGCAGCGCACGAGCTCCTGCGGAGCTCCGCGCGCGGAGCTCCCGCGTCGGCGCCCAGCGCCTCCGGGCGCCGCCTCCAGTGCTGCCCCCTGGCGCGCTCCGCGCGCCAGGCACGGGGGGCCCCGGCGCAGAACGAGAAGGAGGAGAACGAGGAGGAGGAGGAGGAGGAGAAGGAGGAGGAGGAGGAGGAGGAGGAGGAAGACGAACAGGAGGAGGAGGAGGAGGAGGAGGAGAAGGAGAAGGAGACAGAGGAGGAGGAGGAGGAATACGAGCAGGAGGAGTCCGTGCCGACCTCCGAAAAACATGGACTGACGCAGTCTTCCTGCCCGCAAAAAAGCACGGTGTTGAGCCTCGAGGTGGCTCCCGTCGAGAGGGTGGCCCCGTCAAGAGCTCGGCGGGCTCGGGGGCGCTCCCGGCCTCGTGGAAGACTGCCTGATGGCTCGAGGGCCTGCCCGCTTGTCCCTGCTCTTGCCGCTGGCTGGTTTGCCTCGGGCGCTGTGCGGGGTGGAACTTCATGCCCTCGTGGATCGAGTACAGTGGAGACCCATGCCAAGAAACACCCTGCTCGCCTCCAGGGTGCCCTGGGTTTCTTAGATGTCGATGGTTCTGCCATGGAGAGCGTGACGTTCCCATCCCAAAAACTGATGGACGTCCTGTGGTCTCAGGGTTGGGTTTCTTGTGGAAGGTTTCTTGTGCACTGGCACCCACCGTAAGCAGGGAGCTCTCGGGAGCGTTTGAGCATGCCGGGGTTCTCGGGAGCCTCCAGGGTGCTTCAGAGCCCTTCCGGAGCCTCGAGTGGGGAGGCCTGGGCCTCCTGCAAGTTCCATTCCGGGAGCCCCGGCAGCCTTTCGGGATCCTTCTGGGGCCTCGGTGGGCTTCACAGCTAGCCTTCTGGCAGAGCGCCCCCCCCCTCCCCCCTGGGCCAAAAGGCCTCCGTGGCGCTTCAGGAGGGAGAAAATCACACAGACATAATGAATCGTCGATCTCCCAGAAAATACGGGAAAATATGGGAAGTGGGGGGGAAGACACAAACCCCAAATATTAAAAAAGCCAAAAAAAAAATGGGGAATCCTGTTGTGTATTTGTGTGTATTTATTTGTGTGTCCCAGGACCCCTTCAGTGTTGCTCCACAGGGGTCCGCACTAGCCGCCCTGGGGGCCTCCAGAGGCCTCCTCACGAGGCATGCGCGGGGCCCACTCAGACATTCTTTCTGTCCCTCGGGGTGGCGGTTCGTCGCCATGCCTGGCGTGGCTCGAAGACACATTTCTAGGGCAGTGCCTAGAAGTGAACGTGAGACTTATGATGTTCCAACCTACTTTAGCCTTGACCACCAGAAGGAATTTCGAGCGCCAGAACAGTACCAAAAAAATCTAGGGTTTTCTCGTGTCGGGCCCTAGGAGACACTGCTTCGACACTGTTTCGACACTATTTCGACACTTTTCCAGGTGCTCGAAATTATTTTTGGGATGCGGTCCTTAAGCACGATGGGAGCAACATGACGTGAGACCACGGCTTGAGTGGAACCTGGCCAGGAGGACACATCCACATGCGTTCCCGTGCTTTTCCGCCACCGCCCTGGGCTATAAAGAGACTGATGCGGCGACAGAAGCAAGCCTCCCGTGCTCACAGACATCTGTTCTCAGGAACGCCTGCTCCTGCTTCTCTCCTTCGTCCCGCCCGTCAAACGTCCAGCCCCCCCGCGCCCGAGCCCCGATCCGTGCGCGGGACCCTCAATCCCAGGCTCCCCACTGCCGCGCTCCCCTGACCCCGCCAAGAAGAAACCCCGCCTTGATCCTGAGGATTTTTCCCGCCACTGCTCTGCGACCAGACGCGCACGGGGAGTCCTCCATGCCCGGTGGTTTTCCCCGTGGTGGGGCGGTGGCCGCTGCGGCGAAGACGTGCGGTCCTCCACCTGCGCGTCGGCTCTCGTGGCCTCGCGGCGCGTCTTGCAGCCAAAACATTATCCTCGGCATTTTTTTGGCGTTTCTCGCCAAGTTGTGTGTGTTGTGTGTATGTGTGTGTGTGTGGGTGTTATTGTCTTCCCCTGTCCCATACCCGTGCATCCGCCTCTTTCCGGTCGTCGTGTAGGGCTCGGTCGATTCCGCGCGTTCTTGGAAGAGCAGCTTCCTGGGCAACTCGACCAGCAAGAACAAGCACCATCGCAGCATGTCGCAAGGCTATTTTCGCGTCCTTATCAGGTCGGACCTGATTTTTGAATCCGGGGGCCCAAAGCGATTGTAGCACTCAACTCCCCTATGGCAGCATCTCGGGGATATTCGCCTAGATGTTGTATCACTCGCGCGACCCGCGAGGGAATGCATTATTTCTTTCAGAAGCCCCATGCCCTAATGGTGGGCTTCTTGGTGTTACGCTGACGCCTCCGACTCATCACGTTTCCTCCCTCCTCCCTCGCATTCAGACATCAATTTACATTAAGGCTCACTCATATTCACTCACACTCGGACCCCCACCCACTCATACTCAGGCTCAACACTCAGGATCACTCATACTCAGATGCATTCAAACTAAGGTACGCTCAGATCCAGACGCACTCACACTGAGACACACCTCTCACACTCAGACGCATACACACTCAGAGTCACTCACACTCAGACTCAGGCACACTAAGACCCACTCACACAGCTCACTCGCACTCAGGCTCACCTTACACCCTACCTGTGAGGACGTCTCGAGCGAGGAGCGGGAACCGCTAGGGAGGGGGTCTTTCACGGCCCGTTCGCGCCCCGGCGGTTTGCCTGCTTGGTGGCTTGGGCGCTCCTTTGCAAGTTCGTCGACTTCGACACCGCCTGGTTCCGAGGCTTTGCCTCCTCCCGGCCTCGTTCTGAGGCTGCGCCCCCCTTCTCCTCCCACCTTCTCTGCGTAATTTAAGCTTCGCGCGGCCCGCTTAGCTTCGACCGGAAGAGGTGCGCTCTCGACCCGCGGATCAGAAAAATTGGTTGGTGGTTTGGACTTCCCTGCTTTCAGAGATGCGAGGGTGTCTCGAGCGAGGCGCCGGTGTGAGCACCCAAGGCGGCCAGATCGTGGGGATGCATTGAGCTAGGTCTAGGTGCTCGATTTCGAACCTCCGGCTCCTGTCCAGTCAGACCCCCATGAACATTTCGACGTAGGGAGAAGGGCGGCGTCCAGGACGGAGGACCAAGGATGAAGGAGGAAGGAGGAAGACGCAGGAAGAGGGAGAATAGAGGAGGTAGGACGAGAAGGCAGGGGGCACGAAGGACTAGCTCTCACGCCTAGACATCCCCAGACACTCACAGAGGGACATGCCAGGAAATGAGATGCTTATCTGGGGATCTGCTCGTCGAGTAGTTGGTTCCTGACGGAGCAGACCTGCCCCCAGCGGAGCAATACATAGGGCACCACAGGTGCTGACGTGGGTAAAAGCCTTCCGCCTTTAGGAAACTGTTTCGATAACATTTCGGGAGCGACCAACATGGATTGCCGTCTACTCGCCTGGCAGACCAGCAACCTTGCGGAATCCTTGGGTCCGGGCATTGGTCACTTGTTGTCCACGTATTCCCTTGCCAGGCCGGCAATATCGCGGAATTGCTGACGCCAATCACAAGATTGCTCGCTGTTTGCGCCCCACCTCCAGCGCAAACGGCGAGCACACATCCGGCGCAGCCTTGTGAAAGCCACCAACGCGGCGCGCCAAGGGTTACGCGATCCATGAGTCGCTCCATGGGTTGCGTCATTCATTTGTTCTGCTGTCCATGTATTGCTCGTGCCGTGCGGTGCGCCATGGGTTGCAGCATTCATCGGTTGCACCACGTTCAATACGTGGGTTGCGCCATCCATGGGTTGCCCGATCCATAGGTTGCGCCGTTTGGCTCATGGGCTGCGCCATTCAGGGGTTGTGTCATCCATTTGTTTCTTTGTAGGTTGCGAGATCCGTGGGATTCGCCATGGGTTGTGCGAGCCATGGGTTGCGCCATGGATTGCGCCGTAGGCTTCGCCATCCGCGGGCTGCGAAGCACGTTGCGCCATAGGTTGCACATTTGGAGGCCGAAACATGCATTCGCTGTAGTTGCATCCACTCAGCGTTTGGCTCTCCGTTTTGTCTCCACCCTTTCTCTGCTGTCGGCCCTCCATGTCCTTGTACTTTCCAGCGTGATGGGGATTTGGCAGTTGTTCCAGCACCCGCTGGTCTCAACGTCGATTCTAGAGGCTTGCGCCACATCCGCCGACCCCTTGTTTGCTTCGGGGCACGGGTCTTGCGGGGTTTGGTCCGTGTCCTCGACGGGATGACGACGGGAGTCATGCAACAAGCGAGCGGATATTGGTGGTGTTGGCTCCGTGGGCTCCTCGCTGTCTCCTGAAACGCGGAAGGTTCGACCTCGCGGGCGGCGCGATGGGGGGGGCAAGCCGCGCCCGCCAGGAGGCCCCAAGGGGTTGGTGGATTCCGGGCCAGAGGCCGCGCATCTGGGTGCCTTGATGCGTTTGCTGATGGAGTCGTTGCGTGTTTTAGTGTATGTCGCAACGTCGGCCCCCAGAGGTCTGGGGATCGTCCGTGAGGCTCATTTTTCGGTCGGAGTTGATGTTTGACGGTCGGCAGGCCTACCTCTTGGGGGCGTGTTGGGGGCCTTTTGGGAGCTAGTGGGGCCTCTTCGAGGCCACTTGGGGGCGTCTCGGGGCTTTTCTGGGAACCTCCTCGGCCGTCATGGAGCGATCTTGATTGCCTCTCGGGCTGTCTCCGACTCAAAAGGTGAATGTGCTAAACTTAGCAGTTCCCCGACGCAGCGTGCCAACTGTTGTATATTGAGGGGCTCTTTGGGGGGCATCTTGGGGCTCGCTTGGGCAATATTGAGGCGAGATTGGGTTTTCTGGAGGCTTCTCGGGATCGTTCCGGATTATATTGAGGCTCGCAATAGAAGGATCCCGATTTCAGGGCCTTCTTGGAGACCCCTTGGTGTGTTTTGGGGCGCTCCTGGGGCGCTCCTGAGGGCTTGGAAGACCGCTCCCCTTGGAGTCCTGTCCGTGGTGGCCATCGCCGTGGGCTCGTCCTTCGGCCGCGTCTCGGTGCCGCTGCTCGAGCTGCTGGGGGCGCTCGCGGGGTTCTTCTCCCTCGTGGCGTGCGGCCTGGTACTGCTCTGGCCGCAGGTGTGCGCCGTCGTGCCGAGGGCCGTGGAGAGCGTGGTGGGGCAGGCGGAGGTGCACGGCGAGGATAGCGCCGACCTGCCGAAGGAGAGCGAGGCGGAGCCGTCGGAGGCCTACGTCGAGGAGTTCGTGGAGGCGCCGACGTCCGAGGGCGTCGACGAGTGTGTCCACGACCACGTGCAGAAGGTGTCGTTCATGGAGGTCGCCGCCGAGGAGTTCGTGGAGGTGCCGGCGTCCGGGGGCATCGAGAGGAGCGCCTACGTTCCGCAGAGCCGGTGGGCGTCGCGGTGCTGACGGCGGAGCACGTCGAGGAGGTCTTGGAGGGGCCGTCGTTCGAGGGCGTCGTGGCGAACGCTCACGTGCCGAAGGTGCCGATCCCGTCGGAGGATTACGTCGAGGAGTTCGTGGAGGCGCCGACGTCCGAGGGCGTCGACGAGTGTGTCCACGTCCACGTGCAGAAGGGGTCGTTCATGGAGGTCGCCGCCGAGGAGTTCGTGGAGGTGCCCGTGGCCGCGGGCATCGAGAGGAGCGCCTACGTGCCGCAGAACCACTCCGAGGGGGAGCTTGTCGGCGAGGTGAGCGTGGCGGTGCCAGCGGCGGACTACGTCGAGAAGGTCGTGGAGGTGGCTTCGTCCGAGGACGTCGAGGTCAGCGCCCACGTGCCGAATGTGCCGTTCAAGATCGTGGAGGGGCGGCCAGGGGGGCCGCCCGAGGCCGCCGCCGGGGCTGCCGGCCGCGCCGAGGGGCGGCCAGGGGTGCCGACGGGCATCGAGGGGAGCGTCCACGCGCCGAGGAGCGACGCCGTCGCCGAGGAGGAGCTCGTCGGCGAGGTGAGCGTGGTGCCGCCGAGGCCCGTGGAGCAGAGGCCCCGCTGGGCCGATGCAGGGGACGAGGACTGTGACGTGCTGGTCGAGCTGCCGACGGCCTCCCTGGAGCAGGCGCGGGCGGGCGGCTCGCGGCCGCGGCGCAGGCGCAGGCGCAAGGGGACCAACTGGCAGATAGTGCAGTTCGCCGTTGATGTGCTCGAGCGGTTTGGCTCCCTCCGAGAGTCGCTGGCGGCCACGCTCGGGCCCAGGGCGGTGAATGTGGCTTTCGAGGGGCTGTTCGACGAGGCGTCAACAGCCGCGGAGTGGGGCTGCGACGTGTCGATCGGCTCCGAGACGGGGAACACCTTGGTTCAGATGTTCCTCGGTGGCGAGTTCGCGGAGTGCGCCGACTCGTGGCTCCAGGTCGTCGCGGCCGGGGAGAATGAGTTCTCCGAGGTGAGCCGCGCGCGGGGGCGAGGGGCGAAAGCGGGCGGGGAGGGGCCTCGGAGCGAGGCCCCGCTCTCCCCGTCCGTGCTGGATCCCCCTCGGAATCTTGCGAGGGCGGCCCCGTGAGGCCTGCCTGGGGCTCCTCCTGGGGTCGTGCCGCCTGGCCCGCGGGCCTGTGCGGGGTGGGCGCGCCCTCCTTGGATCCCCCCCCGGGGTTCCAAGGCGGTCGCGCGGGCGTCGGGCTCCGTCCTCGTCGCCACGGCCCGCGCGTCGGGGCGCGAGGCCGCGAGGGGTGCGCAGTGGATCGACTCTGCCCCCCATGTCGCGCCGATCCTCCTCCTCCTCCTCGTCCTCCTCCTCCTCCTCCTGGCCACGCCCGGGATACTTTTCGGTCGGGGAGGTCCCACGGGCCGCCCCCCGCGCGCGCCAGTGCGATAGAACACTCGCCTGCTACTGGGGCCATCCGCACGCCTCTGGCCCGTCCAGCCGGCGCGCAGGATCCACACTGGTGGTTGGGCGTTGCGTAATGGGGGGGTCATAAATGGGGGGTTGGTGAGGGTGGTCCGAAAAGGTACCCAAACAGTACCTAAACGAGCCCCCATGGGGGTCCAGAGGGGCCCGAAAGGGGCACGAAAGGGGACCGTTTCTGACCCCCCCATTTGTGACCCCCCCATTAAGCAATGCCCAAGGTGGACGCGGTGGGGGCGTTCGTTGAGGAATGTGCCCAGGATCGGGGGCGGAAAAGAGGGGGGTGATGACCAGGGGGGGGTGGACATCATGGAAGGGGGGCCATGAGATTTCCCCAGATGTCATGGCGCCCCTTCCTATTCCATTACGTCCCTGGCCCCCCCGCTGGGCCGCGCACATGCCGCCGGTCATGATTTGCACCCCCCCCTCTTGGACACCCCCCTCTTGGCCGCTCCCGACAGGAGGCTGCAGGCCCTGGAGGATTCCTCAGCTGAGGAGGGCGGTGGCGATGTCCGTGGCCGCTCCACTGTTGGATGTCCACGGGCTTCCAGACCCTGGATTCCTTACCGAAAGGGCTCCTTGTCCAATGCCCCCACCGGCGCCTCGGTCGCGACCGCGGGCCCCCGCGCGCCTGCGGGGGCCCTCATCCCGCCGCCCCTCGCCGCGGTCGTGCAGGTGCACAGGCCGGCCCCCGCCAAGGGGCGGTGCGGGAGGCGAGCGCGGCCGCAGGCGGGCGCCTGGGCAGCGACGGCCCATGAGGGCGGCTAGCGTCAGACACGCAGACTTGCGTGAATTCACTCACGGGCCTCGCGGCCCTTGATCGGGGGTGGACAGAACCCCCAACAGTGACACGTCGATTAGTGAATTGTCCGTTTTCGGTTTTCGAGAGGGCGCCGTGGCCGTTATTTTCCACGCTTGCGCCCGCCAGGTTTGGGCCCGAAGTCGTTTTCACTAAACCACGTTTTACTAAAGGGAGGCTTGTCCATCCCCGACTTGAAGAACCGCACAAGACGTCCCCACCGGATAAGAGGCAATCTCCGTCCAGCGCTGCACCTCGAGACGAGTCCTCGCGCTGCGCCGATCGACCGCTCCTTCTCCCGCCCCTGCCCCTTTCCATCCTCCTGCTTCTCCAAAAAGGGAAGGGAAGAGCCGCGCGCGGGCCCACCAACACTGAATCCGCCACTCGGCGTCTCGGGAGCTGGCACTGGTCGGCAGCTTCGTTTCGTAGGACGCGCTTCCAGGGTTCAGGGGTCCGCCCATCATTTCCAGAGGTCCTTTTTGGCACTGGCGTGTCTTTGGTGGACGCCTTTTCTCCTTCCGCTCCTGCTTCCCCGTCCTCCTCCGTCCGCCCCTGCTTCTCCCTCCTCCTTCTGTTCCCCCCCCTTTCTCCTTCCGTCTCCCACAAGGGGGGGGGCGCGAGTGTCGGTGTCGCTGTGAATGAAGCCGTGAAGTGTAACTCTTGTGAATGAGACCCGTTCGGGTGACCGTTCGGGGGATGGCTTCGCCAATGGCGGTGGCAGTGCCGAAGTCCGTGGAAGGAGGACCAGGGCGGGAGAGAGCGAAAGGGAGGACGAGCATTAGGATAATGAAAGGACGAGGAGTATAACAATGAGACTGTTGAGGAGGAGGAGGAGGAGGAGGAGGAGGAGGAGGAGGAGGAGGAGGAGGAGGAGGAGAGGGAGGAGGAGGAGGAGGAGGAGGGGGGGCGAGGAGGAAGAGGAGGACCAGTGTATACCCCAGATGCATCGACGATCTTGGAGTAGACCCTCTCTAAAAATTAGTTTTTTCTTCATAGACCCCTTTTACACGGGTTCAATTCCAATGGGGGAATGGCCTCGTTGCGGGGCAACGGTTTGAAGACCCTGCAGCGTGCCAAAACACAATTAGCGGGACTTTAACGCTACGAACCAACTTGATTTTTGTGTCGTTACAATCCACAGCCGTGCCAGAACCCCATGTTTGGGACTGCAGCCCCGAGAAGCAACGTAACTATTGCGCCCTCATAATCTTGAGCCCTTCCGAAGCACATTTCTTGTACGCTGATCATGCGAGCCTGGCGAGTGTTTAACACCTGTGTGTGCCGCGGTAATTCGAAAACCACATTTTGAAATGGAGCCGCCCCAATCCATCCAACTCTTGCACTATTTTTTCAAACGAGTGCGCGCGGCGCTAAGGCGAACCGCTGGTCACAATGCCGATGTCCTAGATATGATGCTTCATGTTTGGGCTGCCGCTGTTTCTTTTGAACCTTGCAGTGTACGTGCCAGCCGGTTTTGGTAACCATGCTGCTCACTCATCACCTTTCCTCCTCCTGCCGGTTCGCCCTCTCTATCTTCCGGTCGCCGCTATCGAGCCTGGGTGGACGGGCCCTTGGGCTTGCATGCGAACCCACGTCGAGCCCCAGCCTTCCCAGATCATGCGTCCATTTCCGTTTCTGGCGATGAAATGCTCCGGGAAAGCGCCTTGGCACCGATTTGGGCGACATGTGACTGGACTTGGGCTTCACCGATTGCCATTATTTGTCAAAGTTGGTTTGCTGAGTGGAAAGCAGCAAACAAACAGTTGCTGCAATTGGCTGCGCAATAGGTTGCCCACTCGGCGATCAAGAATTAGACGGTCGGCTATTGGTTGCGTGTGCACCTGGCGGCCAAGTATACAACGGCTTGGTCAGAGTTGCGCAGCCGTTTGCGTTTCGGTTGCCGAAGCTAGAACTGGCTGCTATTGGCTGCACCATATGTACGCACGCACTCGGCCGCAGACGAGAACGTTGCCTGCAATTGGTTGCGCCATAGGTTGCGACCTCGACGGGCCAGAAGACAATGTTTTGGTTTAGGCTGTGCAACAAGATGCGCACTCGGCGGTCGAGAATACAACAAGCTGTTTATGGTCGCGCCATATTGATTGTTCCATATGTTGAGCACTCGGCGGCCAAACACAACGGCCTGCTAGAGGTCGCACCATAGGTTGCGCACTCGGCCGCTGGGAGCACAACGGCTTACCAAGGGTTGCGCCATACGTTGTGCACTCGGGCGCCCATGCTACAACAGCTTGCCACAGCTTGCGCCACAGCTTGCGCCACAGCTTGCGCCCTCGTCCGCCGAGAGTAGAACGGACTGTAATGAGCTGCGCCCCTTCTCTCCCGTGCACCTCGGGGGCAGCTTCCCCAGTGCTGCCCACGCCCGCCAACCGCATGCAGGCCTCCCGACTGCCCCTGCTGCCGCGCTCGCACGCCCACGCCGTGTCGATCAAGAACGTGCTCGTGGACGCGGAGGAGCCGACACCGAGGGCGAAGATTGGATCCGTGTTTGCGGCCCCGCGGGCCAGGCCCCTGGGCCGCGACCCTGCGGTCACGGGTTGCATCCGCCGCGCGAAACGTATCCGTTCGACCGCGTACTCGCGGGATCGCTCGCCAGAATCTAGACCGCGAGGGCACAGATACGGACAAATCCGGCGCTCGTGACGACCTGGGGGGGAAACATGATGGCTCGTCGGCGCCAGTAGGATACGTCCCGCGCCGCAGTGGAGCGATGCGGCGTGATGGGACGCCCGAGTTTTTCCTCGCCGACGTCATACATGCATCGCCGACGTTGCCGAGGCATCGGCGATGCATCGGCGATGCGTCGCGGTCTTTCGACCCCATCTACTCGGATCCCATGTGGGAGTCCAACAGTTATGCTGTCAAGGATGCCCCGGGGGATTCGCAAGGGAGGTGGGGCAGTGGTAGGACTGCGGCGGAAAACAAGGAGTCTCTGAGACCCATGAGCAGGAGCAGGAGCAAGAGAGGGAGGAGGGCGAGGGTGCGCGAGCGTCCTGACCGCAACGGCAGTTCAAGAAAGAGGACGATCACGAGGATTGCGAAAGTCATTCAACACCCTGTTTTTTTGTGTCAACGGTTTGGGTGATTGGAGAACGTAGGATGTTTGGACTACCGACGGCGCGTCCGAGGTCTCCGGAAAGTCAAGAGGCGAGTCCCGGCGTCGAGCACAAGTGCACAGGATTTGGGGTCTGAGGTTTTTAGAGCATTCATGCCGAGAAACACCCTGCTGACCTCCAGTGCCCTGGGTTTCTTGGGCTTCGATGGTTTTGCTGTGGAAAGGGTGACGCCCCCACGCCAAGAATCAAGGGACGTCCTGGGGTCTCAGGGTTGGGTTTCGTATGGAAAGTGTCTTGTGGTAGGGCCTCCACTGTATCCGGTTTTGTTGCTTGCGTTAAGTCGGTCCTGTCCCTCTACAGGAGGAATATTGAAAAATAGTAAAAAATAACAGCTTGGGGACGATTGTTGGATATGTTGGGGGGTATTGTTTGGCTATTTCATTTCGTCCAAAATCCGCCTGTATGGGGACACGCCCGACCTACTGCTTGCGGCAGGTTCCGCCACCATGCGAGCGCAGCACTCCGCATGCGGACGCTTCGGGCACCGCACAGGAGGCCATAACATGTGACACCTGTCGTCTGTACAATCTGAGGGGTTTTCATGGGACTCGCCTGGGCCGTCTTTGGGCTGTCCTTGGCTCATATGGGGCCGTCTTGTGCCCGCATTTTGCCTCTCGAGCCGTCTTGGTCTTGGTGCAGTATTGAGCCGGAGCGCGTTGGGCTGCTTCGATTGCGCTTTTGAAGTTTCTGGGGCTGTTTTGAAGATGGTTTCGAGACCGCGCCGTCCCTGCATAGCTTCTCAGTTTCTCTCTGCTGCTTCTCTTGTCAACGGCATCTTAGCATCATGTGGTGAGGTTGCCTTCCACCCGGACCTGTCGTGCCGTGTGTGATCGTGCTTTGTATCATTTGCGCTATTCTTATTGACCCTAGTTGCGCTGTCCTGAGCGGGATGCGGAGGCGCCAGGGGAAACGTCTGCGCAAAGAACGTGTTCTTTGCAGAACCTCGCCCCCCTGCCTCACCAGCTCCGTTGAGACTATTTGAATCATGGTCTGTACTGCACATCGGTGCAACTTTGCCGTTTTTCAGGGCAGATCGGCGCAACTCGTTGTAAGGTCCCCCTCGGTGTAGGTATAACTCGATGCAGTTGGAGGCGCTGTTCTAGTGCTTGCTGCGACGCTCTTGGCTTGCACACTGGCTGGTGATGATCGTTGTTGTTTGTGCTTTGTCACATACTCCTCCTCCATGCGGCACGCAAGCTCCTTACTCCAGATTTCGTAATAAAGGGAGGGGGGTCTCATTTCGGGGGGGGTCTCTTCCATGCTATCTTGGAGGGCCTCGGGGGGTCTGGGGACGATGTTTTGGAGGGTTCTCCCACGGGGGAGGTCTGAAATTGCTTGTCTTGGAGGGTCCAGAGACCCCCTCCCTTTTATTACGAAATCTGGAGTATCCTCCTCGTTGTCCTCCTCGTCCTCCTCTCTCTCTCTCCTGGGTTTGACTTGTGGCCAATGCTGTTGTTCATCGTGTTTTTCTTGTGCCTCCGCCGCTCAGGAGGCGCCGTGTTCGTCTGCCGAGGCGTCCTTCAAGGTCCTCTGCGAAGGGGGCGACGAGCGCATCGCGGTCCTGCGCATGGTGACCGCCGGTGGTCGGACGGGGGCCAGTCAAGTCAACGGCAGCTGCAGTTCAGGGGGGGCCCTCGGGGGCTTCTATGGGCGTCTAAAGGGACCTTTTGGCGGTCCCCGAAGCCCCCGAGCTCGCCATTGTCCTCCTCCTCCTCCTCCGATTTTTGACGCCACGCGAGGTCATCCGTTCTGTCCGCATCGTCCCCTCAGCTTTCCTCCTCCTTCAAAACAAAATTCAGGGGGTGGCCCTCGTCGCCATGGCTGGACGCAGCTGGGAAAGGATGTGCGCTTGGATTTTGGGAGGGTGGTCTGGGGATGGAGCTGGAGCTGCCGCTGCCTCGGCCTGCCCTGCTCCGAGAAGGCGAGAGGACAACAGAGGGGAACCAAAGGGGAACAGAAGCCGGGAGGAGGAGGAGCTGGACAGGGGATGGGGGAGGAGGGGGGAATGGGGGGAGGAGAGGAGGAGGAGGAGGAGGAGGAGGAGGAGGAGGAGGAGGAGGCCCCGCGCCGCGGCGACCACGCGCGGGGAGGGCTCCCCGCCTCGAGCAGCAGGCACGACACGAGGAGCCCGGGGGGCGGCGCGACTTGAGGAGACGAGCAAGAGGGGAACAAAAGCCAGGAGGGCGAGGGACCAGCAGGAG